TCAGCCAGACAGTGCCGGCTGGCGACCCCCAGGGGGAGGGCCTTCTCTGTTGGAGCCCCCTCCCTATGGAACGAACTACCCCCAGAGATCCGGGTCATTCCGGATCTCCCCTCCTTCCGCCGCGCCCTCAAGACATGGCTATTTCAGCTAGCGGGACTGGCCTAAGGGGTATTTTTAATTTGGTTTTAACAAAAATTTTTAAAAAGAAACGGCCAAAATTAATATTTCATTTTAGTTACATTTTAAACTTAGTATTTTGTATTATTGTCTGTTTTTTAACTTGCTGTAAGCCTCCCTGAGTCCGCCAGGAGAAGGGCGGGGTATAAATTTGATAAATAAATAAATAAATAAAATGTAGGCCAAGAAACAACTCTCTATCATCACAGAGTACAAACCTCAAACTCCATAGCAACGTATCAGAAACTATTATGAAATCTGATGAAAACATTTCCTAAAGTCACTAGGCAATCTGGACTGTCCTACTGTCTCAAGCATCAGAACTATTACAGCAAATATCAAGTTTCATGATGTACTCAGACATTATGGGTAGAGAAATTTAGAAAAAGAAGTGGGATACTATCAAAGTAAAAAATGTGAAAGTCTCAGAACACGCCCTGCTCTAACCTTGTCCTTAAAGAGGGTCAGTGAAAGTTTTGCACGAGCTTTCAATTTTCTGTTAATACCTACTACACCAATAAAGCAGCATTCCTGGAGTTCCTGTGGAGTCAGGTTTCTTGACCTAGTCTGGCTTGAAGGGCTGGCATTATGCCATCAGCATTTCCAGCTACTTAACACCATAGCTACACTACAGATTTGATAAAAAGATTGGCAAAATCAATTGGTAATCTCCCTAACACCAGCATTTTAGCCATCATGGATTTTGAGGCACTACAGTAACATTCTTCATTTGCATGGACTTGAAGTCATCAAGAATATCATCACTGTTATCAAATAGCAAGTTTTCCCCTCAATTCATATGACACACCCATAACTACATATGTTTTGATCCACTTGACACAGATGCTCACCTGGTGGAATTAAACCAGGCATTTATGAGACTGAACTATCCACCAAAAACAAAAAATAATGATGTTAATATGGGAACCAGATCCTGCAAAAAGTCAAATGTCTACTCTGTTTTCTTATTTATACCATCATCACAGATGCCAATAACTTCACACATAAGATTAAAAGCAAGTTATGTTTTCTTCCTATACCACGATCTGCCAACAATGCCTCTTTGGATTCCACAAATGACAAACATGGCATAAACCAAAAGAACTAATAGCCACAAATTTGACACCAAGACTCAAAACAAGGCCAACATACTATCAGAACATTTCAATTCTCAGGATTGAATTACAGATCTGAAAGCAGCCATTTTGGAAAAAAATAAATTTTACCAACCCAACTGACAAGGGATTGCTGAACTCACTTCAAGAGGTTTTAGGCTACCTCAAAAGATGTTAACACATTCATAGGGTTTTAACATATTAAAATTGTTAATTGGTAAGGTACTTGAAATCTGTCTCATATGTAACTGTCATCTGCATAATCATCTTGTTTTCCTTCTGTTATTTAATTTCAATTTAAATCCTGTAATAGTTCAGCTACTGCATGATGAAGTGACCTACAGTTCATGAAAGTGTATGTCTTTTAATACAATTTATTAATCTTAAAATCTAATCCAACAGACTGTTTTTGAATTTTGGATACCATAGATAAATATTTATTTTATTTATTTATTAAATTTATTGGTCACCCATTTTACCACAGGGTAACCATGGGTGGTTTACAATCATGAAGTGTGTGTGTGTGTGTGTGTGAATATATATATGTTTTCGTAGATTTTCACGGGTACAGGTAAGCAGATCTTTGACCTCGTCGAAACGTCGCCAAGATACTCTCAATCTTACTCGCGGGTGTTTGTATGTAGGTCTTTAGTTATTCGGGTTTTCTCCCGCGTAGAATTAGAAGTGTCTTGGCGACGTTTCGACGAAGTCACATTCGTCATCTTCAGGCTGGTGTCTCCCAGAAGCACGAAGCTGAAGACACCAGCCTGAAGATAACGAATGTGACTTCGTCGAAAC